TCTATCTATCTATCTATCTATCTATCTATCTATCTATCTATCTATCTATCTATCTATCTATCTATCTATCCATCATCTATGTCTATTATCTCTTTGTCTGTCTGTCTGTCTGTCTGTCTGTCTGTCTGTCTGTCTGTATCTATCTATCTATCTATCTATCTATCTATCTATCTATCTATCTATCTATCTATCTATCTATCTATCTATCTACCTCTAGTTAGCTAGCTGAAATCTTTCTTTCTTTCTTTTTCTATTTGACAAATCCCTCCATAGTTTCTAAACCTTTTGCTCCTTATGTTCTATTTGTTCAGATTGCTGAAAACCAAACGAGCTGCTTAATAAAATGCAGTTCTGGTCAATTAGCTGCAGCTATTATGGTCCGGTGCTTTGAGCATCTACAGAAAGCATTCCAGGGCTGCTCCTTCGTTAATGCTTTTGACTAAACCTATTTAATTCACATTCCTGCGCCACTGAATTTGATGGCCAAAATAAGGGTCAGCAAATAAGGAAGAGCCACCCCTTATTTGACACGGTGGGACTTCAAGCGGTTGTGGTCCCATCACACTTGTGAAGAGGGCTGGGGGGTTGTGCAGAAGGAGGCAGTGTGTCACTGACCAAAGCAGAGCCAGCCCCAGAAGGATCCATGGGGTAGGGAGTCAAGTACGGATAGTCCTTGAATTACAACAGTTTGTTTAGTGACCGTTCAAAGTTACAACGGCACTGAAAAACGTGACTTATGAACATTTTTCACACTTATGAAAAAGTGTGCAGCATCCCTGGGGTCATGTGATCAAAATTCAAATGCTTGGCAACTGACTCATATTTACGACAGTTGCAATGTCCTGGGATCTTGTGATCAGCTTTGACAAGCAAGGTTCACTTAAAGCCAGATTCACATAACAAACCGAGTAGCTAATTAAACAACTGTAGTGATTCACTTCACAATTGTGGCAAGAAAAGTTGTAAAATGGGGCAAAACTCACTTAAAAAAATTTCTCCCTTGCCAACATAAATTTTGGGCTCCATTGTGGCCATACGTTGAGGACTGCCTGTACAGTGGCTTTGAACACATAGCCCATGTGAAAAAATGGGGTGTAAGCTTGGCATTGCAGGGCCCATCTTGACTTTTTTTACGCTCATCTCCTTGAACCTTTGGAAGGAAATTTCCAAGGCATCCTAGGCCTAGACTAGATTGGGGGTGGGGGGGGAAAGCTTCCCCACAAAAAGAAATAGCAAATAGTCATTTCTGTATTGCTGCCAAGAAAAGGGTTCAGAGGGAGGACCCCACAAAGCAAGCAGAGCAGAGCTCAGCATGGGGAAAATTTTGCTTCTGCAATATTATGTTTTATTTACAGTTGTGTTTGGGCTGACTAAACTGCGGTTGTTACTCTGTCGTTGTCTGTAAAATAAGATTGCCAAATAACAATGCACACTTAGAAACGCACGTTGGGCACTGATAATTTATAATTTAAGCGCCGTGCTTTATTTCCCCAGTATCAGCAAGGGTCAAGTCCTCACAGCTGCTCTGGTAGTGAATATTCTCCATACCAGAATAAACTATCAAGCTATTTTAATGCAATTTTTGATTAATTCATTGCATGGGTACTTCTCATAGATCACATCACAAATAACACTGGCCTTAATTTTTTTTCCCCATCCACATTATTTTGCTATCTTCTAAAACAGTGCTTCTCGACCTCGCGAACTTTAAAATGTGTGGACTTTAACTCCCAGAATTCCACAGTCAACGCGCATACTGGCTGAGGAATTCCTGAAGTTGAAGTCCATGCATTTCAAAGTGGTTGGGAAGCACTGTTGTAAAGGGTAAATCACAGCCAATAGTAGCATCAAACAAGCTTGCCTGAATTCAAGAAGATAAGGAAGGGTGGATCTTTCTAGTAATCCCTGGATAGTTCCGTTCAAATGTCATTGCCTTCTGGGAGGTTAAGGGTCACAAGGTCATCACTCTTTGACTCATGGTTGACTACATGGTAGAAAAATGGGGTGAGACCCCAATATTGTCCACAAAATTGCCACTGAACACATTCTTTGCTTCTTCTGCCATGTTCTCTGTTGATTTGTTAGCATCCATAAGAATAGAGCCATTATGGAAGGTCTCAGAGATCTTGGTGGGGACATGAACGTAACTTGCTCCACCTCTTCCCGGGTCTGTAGATTAAAAAGTCATTCTGGAAGAATGCAGCAGGAAACCACATCCAATCTATTATCAAGAAAATGACATGGAGGCATCCATAAGATCACCTGGAGTTGAGCTGACCTCTGTTATCTTGGTGGATATAGACTTCATTTCTAATAGTTTTCATTTGTCCTTCCATCTCAGGTTGAGAGCAACTGTGTTATCAGCTTCAGTAATCGTCGTGAGAGGGCTAAGGGATCCCTAAATGGTCCTTTCCAACTGTAGAATTCTGGGGTAGGGAAATAATCTTTTAATCAATGTTTCTTTTTTTTTTCTCCCCAGCATGAAAATGTTGAACAATAGAAACAAAACTGGATATATTCTTTTCTCTAATTAAAACAGCCTATAATAGCCTATGTCTTTTGTAAAATTGGACAACACCATGGATCCTTTGTACGTATCTGCCACATTTCCAGATATTAATGTCTCCTTTTTGACAAATGCAACAGACAATGCAACAGTTATGGATTTTTCTGCCTCCTCCAGCATCCGCTCTGTCTTCATACCAATAATTTACCTTCTGGTTTGTGTTATTGGACTGAGTGGGAACACTTTGGTCATCTATGTGGTTTTGCGTTATGCCAAAATGAAGACCGTGACCAACATTTACATTCTGAACTTAGCCATTGCTGATGTCCTCTTCATGTTGGGCTTGCCATTCCTAGCCACCCAAAATGCTATCTCCTATTGGCCCTTTGGAACATTCGCCTGTAGGCTAGTGACTGCTTTTGATGGTATTAACCAATTCACCAGCATCTTCTGCCTGACTGTCATGAGCCTGGACCGCTATCTTGCAGTTGTCCATCCTATTAAATCTACCAAGTGGCGCCAGCCAAGAATAGCCAAATTGATCAGCTTGGCCGTCTGGACTTTATCCTTTTTGGTGGTCCTTCCCATGATTATATTTGCTGATGTCCAGGAAGATTTTCATACTTGTAACATGAGCTGGCCTGATCCAATTGAGATATGGTCAGCTGTGTTCATTATCTATACATCGGTGCTGGGCTTCTTTGCTCCATTGCTGGTGATATGCCTCTGCTATTTATTAATTGTCATCAAAGTGAAATCCTCTGGGATCCGCGTTGGCTCTACGAGACGCCGGCGGTCAGAGCGGAAAGTGACCAGAATGGTGGTAATCATAGTTGTGGTCTTTGTTTTCTGCTGGCTTCCCTTCTACATTGTGAATATTGTCAATCTGATATTCATCTTGCCAGAGGAACCCATCTTGGTGGGCATTTTCTCCTTTGTGGTGGTTCTCTCTTATGCCAACAGCTGTGCCAATCCCATCCTTTATGGATTTCTTTCGGAAAACTTCAAGCAGAGTTTTCAGAAGGTCCTGTGCCTCCACAAAGGCAATAGTATTGAAGATGGAGACCCCACCGAACTCCGGCAGGAGAAGAGTACCCATCTGAAGGACACGATGCTGCCTCAGAGGAATGACGACTCCAATGGGCACATGCTGACGAGCAAGGTGTAGAAAGTCTGTGACTTCAAGAAAGCTGGATCTTGATTGGAATAGATGATGGCATTTACTGCAAGGGGACTGGGCCAGGAGAAGGTGGTCAGCTCACTTTCTAGCTTAATGTGCAGGTGTTTTCTTTCCCAGTCCTTTGTTGCTGTGTTCACCTTAGAATTCTGGGGGTCGTGAAAGGCTTCACAAATAGTAACCAAAAATAACCTATTGTTCTCTTTTCATTCTTGCTCTCTCCTCCATGAAGGTTTCCACAGGTACATAGGTTAAGCTATACTGTACAAAGGAGGGAACAATGGTTATGACTTCCTTAACAAAAGGCCTTCCCTTTCCAATTTATTAAATTGCAGGTGAAGATTGGAGACTGTGAGAATGATCCATCTCCCCAATCCAAAAACATGCTACATTACTACACAAAACCATGCAACAAAAGTTCAACAAAGGAATAGGCTTGATTCTCAATGGGTGTAATTGCTAGTTGAGAGCTGGTTAAGGCCAACAGGGTCTTCTTGAAATAAATTGGAGACCTTCAAAGTTTTCCCAAGCTTTCCCTTCCTCTGGTTTTCTCCCTCAGTTGTGTGAACTGAAGAATTCCCATAGCTCAATCACCTCCTTGCAAGGTCTGCTGCCCCACAGATCTCTGGTATAAAAGGTGTCAACTGTCCAGTTGGCATTTCCAGAAAAAGAAACTCCTGGGACATGTTTTTACCAAGAGTATAATATTTTACTGAAAATTTACATTGGCACAGAAGAAGCAAAACCAGCTCTGGCTTTTCCCACTTGAAAGCTTACTTAATTAAACAATAGATTCCCTCGCCCCCACCCACCGGGTGTTCACATTGTTCAATGGTAATACTTCTTCCCATTATGAGAAAAGTCCATTTCTCCATCAGTCACCTGCGTTAGTGACCTTGGCATTCTTGCAGGCTCTCAAAGATGCCTCGGTTGCCTAGATGCTATCCCTCCCACCTTTGCATTCCATTCCACAATCTCTACTCTGGTTTTTGTCAAGTTTTGAGTGAGGGAGAAAATGAAGGTGAAAAGGCAAATCAGTCTTGACACAGGGGTGCCAGCAATGGCTGAGGACCCTCCAAGGGACCCAGTGGCAAGCATGGCTGAGGGTGGAAATAGGGAACAAAATACTGTTTTATTAACTTTCCTTGTGGGTCCTACTTTCTACTTGCCACAGAGAGCTTGATCTTTACCATTCGTTTTTCCTAAAATCTAACAGCCCCCATTGATGGCCTTATGCATTTGAGTTAGGGAGCTCACATTTAAATATTGTTCATTCAAAATGTTCTTCAAATGTTGGGAAGTGCAAAAATTCACTCCAACTTTTCCAAAATGTACGCCTTCGCGATTTAACACAATTCAGGCAGAAGACAAAGCAACCTGCCTATCTTACAGGTAGTCCTCAGCTTACAACAATTCATTTAGTGACCATTCAAAGTTACAACAGAACTGAAAAAAGTGACAGGACCATTGTTTACACTTACAACTATTGCAGCATCCCCTTGGTCATGTGATCAAAGTTCAGACACTCGGCAACTGATTCACATTTGTGACGGCTGCAGTGTCCCCTGGGGGCATGTGCGACCTTCTGACCAGCAAAGCCAGATTCACTGAATGACTGTGTTACTTACTTAACAACTGCAGTGATTCAAGTAACAACTGCGACAAGAAAGGTCAGAAATGGGTCAAAACTCACTAAACCACCATTTCACGTAGCAACAGAAAAGATGGCTCAATTGTGGTCGTAGGTTAAGGACTACCTATATATCTTTGGAGGGGTCTAGTTTTCTTTTACAGGATGTCTATTTCCCGTTCATTAATCAACACACGTCCCTCCAGTAATGTCCTTTTGAGGGGCGGGGAATACAAAGTCAAAATGACAGCTGCAACCGTGCATTCAATGCCTCGTTCTGGGTGGACACCAGAAGTGTCTATTCCTGATGCCAGGTTCAGAACTTTTCAGTGTGCCCAGATTTATTTTGAAGTCCAGGCCCCATGGAATCTAGAATCCATATCTCTTTCTTACTTCTACTTCTGGTTGAAGGAAAGAGCAGATTTGTGCCTCTTCCCATCAAAACGGGCACTAAGACGCACCAAGAAGGAAGAGGAGTTGGGAGATTTGCTGACAATGTTGTGCTAACCACTCAAGATATTATCTAGATGAGTGTTCCTCGGCCTTGGCAGCCTGAAGATGTGTGGACTTCAACTCCCAGAATTCCCTGGCGCTGGCTTCATCTTCAAGCTGCCAAGGTTGATGTCTATGGAGATTCTCAGTCATCCAAGATCAAAAGTGCTTTTTCAAGAGGCAACTGGACTTTCTTGTTTTTCTTTGAAGACATTTCGCTTCTCATCCAAGAAGCTTCTTCAGCTCTGAAAAAGCACCTTTGGGACTGCCAAGGTTGAGAAACATTGATCTAGATCAGGGGTTCCCAACTGGGGGTGCAAGACAATATTCCAAGGGGTGCGAAAACTTGGGTTTTCAAAATTATAGTGTATATGCATAATTCGTTGCTTTTATTTTAAACTTTTGTAAGGGGTGCGAGAAGTTATCAGAAGCATTCTAGGGGCACGGGGTATAGAAAAGGTTGGGAGCCGCTGATCTAGATAATGTTTGAACCTACAGCTAGCTGAAGTCAAATATGATTGACTGGTTGCTAAAAGAGAGACCTTTTATAATTTGAATGCACACTGATAAAACACATTTCTGTGAAGAGGTGTTTTTTTTTTTTA